TTAATCATCCACATAGCCTCAAAAATCATATTGTTAATAAAATATTAGTACCAACATACATTTTTTTCCAGTATGGTTCCAGAATATCAATGGAAAAAAAAAAAACACTGATGTTGATGTACATTGCATTGAGCTTATACACAAAAAAGGGATAAGATCTCCACAAAATAGATTGTAGCTGTTTTAGTTTTCAAAAGTCAAAAACCTCGCTAAACTCAAAACATCTTCAAGTAGCACTAGGTGGTGGCAAGCCACTGCAGGTTCTCTTGTTGTGGCCTGCTTGTCCACACTTCTTGCACTTCATCTTCAACCCTACTCGACTTGCATTCCCTGTTGATGAACCCCTGCCTTCTAGTTCATTAACTTCCTTTCGTCTAGCCTTCTTTGGTCTCCCCGCCTTTTTGGAGTAGAATGGTGGTTTCAAGGGATCAAGACCTGGGTTAGGCCAGGAATCTGGGCTTGTCATGGGTGAGATAGATGGTGTATATGTTCTAATGTATGCCTTTTTTTTGTAGATGTCATCTATGTAGTCACTAACACTCATTCCCCTTGAAGTTAGGATGCAATCACATGGCAACAAGGGATACCACTCAATTGCCAAGCTCGACAAGAACAAGTTTTTGCTCTGACATCCACTACATTTAGGGTTCCAATATTGTGCCTAACTTGAAACTTTCCATTTCCTGAATAATCTGCATGCTCACTCCTTGCAAGTCTACTATTCTTGTTCAATATCTTTTGAATTCTAGGCCCATCTTCTCCGGTCCATTTTTCACAAGATTCCCTTCGGATGACAATCCTTTTCATCAAATATACCCTAATTTCTTCTAGCATTGTCAATATTGGCTGCTCTCTTGCATGGAGTAATGTACTGTTGAAAGATTCACATAGGTTGTTCAACAACATATCGCATTTAGTCATTTCCTGAAAGTGTGATTTGGACCATTGAGAAGCCGGTTTTAGCTCAAGCCATCCATATGCTGCAGGATCCAAATCCAGCATCTTTTGCATATATCCTTGCCACTTTGGAACTGTTGTTGCTCTTGCAGCATCCCATAGGCAATTTTTCAAAGCTAGACCCTTATAAGTAGAACTAAAATTATTGTACAAGTGACGAACGCAAGTTCTATGTTCTGCATGCTCGAAAAGTGTACCAATTGCATTCACCAGTCCTTTTTGCTTATCTGAAATAAATGTCCATCCATAGGAGTTATGAATTCCCAAGTCGTCTAGCAACAAGGCTAAGAACCATCTCCAATTCTCTCCATTCTCGGTCTCCACCACTGCATATGCAACTGGATACATTCCATTATTGCCATCAACTCCAACTGCAGTTAATAACTGCCCACCATATTCTGTTTTGAGAAAACAACCATCAACCCCAATCACTTTCCTACATCCATTGATGAAACCTTCCTTCAATCCTCCTAAACATACGTACAGTCTCTTAAATTCACCTGCACGCCCCTCTAATTGAACTGTGCTACCAATATTTGACAACCTTAATTGGTGACAATAATCAGCCAAAACTTTATAATGTTCTACAACACTACCTCTTATCTTCTCCATTGCCTTTTCCCTTGTCCTATAAAATTGCCATACAGATATGTCTCCCAGATTGTCCTTCTTAACTCTATCCATAAATCCACTGCATGTCATATTAGGTTCAGCCCTAAAATCAGAAGCATATTTGGCTGCCAAGTATGTTGAACTCACTCTTCTATTTCTGTACACTAGGCTACAGCTATGAACACCTCTGAAAGTCTTGATTTCGAAGCTCCACTTATCCTCTTGCTTTGTTGCATACAAAACCCATGAGCACTTTTGTTTACAGGTAGCTCTCAACCTCCTAGCATCATCCTTTACATATTTGATCTCCCTATTATGCCTCACTGAGTGCTCAGTAATAGCATCTTTCAACACCTTCTTTGACTCAAATGTTTGCCCTGCCAAAGAAAAAAATAGTCTCAAAAGCCAGTTACAAGACTAAAGCTATTAATTTTGTTGTCATTACTTACCAACTATGAATATGGGATCCCCCATATCTGTCCTAGGATTGAATGCTTGCCTTCTACTTCTTTTCCTTGAACTAATTTCTTCTTCTTCATCATTACTGTCCAAACTCTTTAATTCATCCGAGTCACCATAATCTGTGTCTGAATCCTTTACCAATGGCTCATTTAAAATACCAAATCCAAAATCCATAATTCTTAGAGGATGAGTTTCAGCATTATCAAGAAAGTCTTCATCCATTTCATAGTCACTATCTAGAAGTACACCCTCGTCTTCTATACATTGCCGCTCTTCATGTGATTCACTTGTATTATTTGCATCACATGTAGGTATATTTTGTTCATCATGTGTTCCAGAATGGTATGCCATGGCGTCTTCAACTTGTGACCAAATTGCATCTTCATTTGCATAGAAAAACTTATCATCCCAATTATATTCTTGGTTTTCTTCATCTTTCCATTCAAGAACAGGAACATAGCATCCTTCTTTACTTGGATCAGACCTCCCACCATGCTCATTTAGAGGTGTATTTGAATCATATGGAAGTGCTTGTTTTTGCTTTGAAGGTACAAGATATATCTCCACAACCCTCGCTTCATTTCTGTCCTTCAGCATACTTTTTACATCTTGCTCATTGTTAATTCTATTTAAGCCTTTTCCCAGTGATACTTCTGGCTTCCTATAGAATACTTCCATTTGCTTATTAGATCCCCAGGCTTTTACATATTTGTTCAACATTTCACTTGTCAAAAAATTTGGATGAACGAAATCCATATACAGCACCGAACCATGCTCATATGTGATATTGTTTGGCTTATCAAAGAATCTCCCACCATGGTGGACCTCCATTGTGAAATAATCTGTATTCAGACCTGCATGACATTCAATTACGAATTTATTTTCTGCAATATAATTACGTGCATGAAGATTACAAGCCCCTATCGAAAGGGAAAAAAACTAACCGTATTCAGGTGCCTTCTCTTGATAAAGTCTGAATCTTGGATATTGCATTTCTATATAGATTAAAGAAATCTCAATAAAGAAGTACCCAAACTTTTGAACATACAAAAAAAAATAAAGAAGGTATATGAAAGATTTGCTGGGAATGGGATTGCTAATACCAATAAAGACTTGGTTTTCGTTGATTTTGTTGGGTTTTGTAGTGGAAAGAAAACGAAAATAAACTCGCCAAGTACTCGCAGGAGACATCTTTCATATACCTTCTTCACTTATACCTAGTGCAAAAACAATAAAAATGAAAGCATGGTTTATTTTTTTTAGCAGATTACATGGTCACAATATTAAATAAACTCTTGATTTAAGTGGTAATCTTGAATCAACTTGAGCAAAGAACTTCAAAGCCACATGTATTATCGTAAAATGGAATAAACTTGGCTAAAATACCCAACACTCCTCCATATGAATTCAAGCATAAATCTTGGAGAACTCTATAGAATATATGTAAAATCACAAGTATTAGTGTATTACATAGT